CGGAGGGATCGGGATCATGTGAACTCGATGGACTTAGACTAGCCCCGTCAGGTCAGATCATCTCACCTGATGGGAAGTTTACTACGGGCCTTAGGTCTCCAGCGGAAACCTGATGTAATACTACGATACGTTTTGATTTTTCCTAATCTCACTTCCATTTATCAAATACCATCCTAAGGCCCAGCTTCGTAGGTACTTAGATAAAGACTTACCTTGCTATGATACTAAATCATTTACATGAAGGAAGAAAACACGTTCTAAATAAACCTACTATAGTACTTGTTCTATCTGCATGCGATTCTAAAGATTAAAAAGAGATTTTGTAATTATCCAGACTATAAGCAGATTTTTGTTTTCCTAAGGTCCAAGCAGAGGTGCCTGTACAGAGAAATAAAAGAAATTCTCGGGTTGTGCAAGAGAGAATTTCAAGTGGGGGACGTCACGGATAGCCTTGCTGATGTCATTTCAAACGAGAATCAGACTACTGCACTCTGCCTCTGGGATTCTGCTTTTCTAGTAAGGATTAAGGTTTAAATTTAACCGTTGTAAGTATTTGCCTCGTAAATTTCCTGCAAATTCCTCCAAAAACTGTATTTTAAGCAAGTGATGGCCACTTCCTAGGAATCCCCATAAATGCAGTAATCAAATACTAGCTTGATTTCAACTTTTCTTCACCTACTATTTAGCTCATTCATAGCAATAATAAACAAGTTTTAGCTCAGGGAATTTCGTTTTAATTTATCATCTGATTCCTACGTGGGTACAGTCTCAACACTAATCTGAGATCAGATGGCTTATAATATGATTTTGTTTATATTTAACTTTTTTCAAATAATTATACAAACTTCATAGTATATCTCAGTTCTAATGGCCCTTTTACCTCTCAATTAGAAGTAGTAGTCAAACAAAAAACGCAGCCAGCTGACGACTGAACAGGCGCTAGCAAAAAGGAGTTTAAGCTTGGAATCTCATGGACTATGACCAGAATTGAAAACAAGGCTGATTTGGTTATATAAACGCGGTCATCTGACGACTAAACAAGCAGAAACGTATAGCCTTTCATTTCCTTATTATTCAAAACCTAGTCTCTAGATACCAATAGTAAGATTAGTTTCTGCTCCATCAATACAGCAACAGATCCTTGCTCCTTTAACAAAAGCGAGTTATATAAATTATTTACCTTGAATGGGTTCACGATGAAACGGGCAAGATATTCCACAGTAAAGTAGGCCATACAACTAAAAATAAAAAAGTATAGAATAAGGAAAAAAATAAATATGAATCACTAGTAACTAACCACAGCTCAAGCCACTGAAGAATGTAATGCGGTTCTTTCTGCTCATCCTGCAGTTCTGGCATTGAACTAAGTATCAAACCTGCAAAAGAAAAAACGAAATTTGCTAATGCTAGCTACAGGAAAATGGACTTAGCATACCTAACAATGAAAGTAGAACAAAGAAAGCGGATATAATAGAGAACACTTTAGCTCCGAATGACGAGCGCGGATTCTCCAGTAGCCTGTAGAGGCTGAGGCGCATTGGCCCCATCCAAACCTTATCGAATGACG